TTGGGTGCGAGGAGAAATGAAACGGCGGTTTTTAGAGAAATGGTTGCAAAGATCCATTTATTGCATTTCGGGATCGACGCAAGAGATTCTCAAATACAATGGGATCGAACACATGAATTGTCCTAACCATACAAAAGGTTTTTTCCATTGCGCTCTACAAAAAGCGGTTCGGTATCATTATTATTTAAAGACACAGAGAAGAAATTCGCAAGGTCGATCCTGCACAATTCAATCTTGACAGAACTCATTAAAAAAAATACATATATCACGTTACTTCTTCAACAGCACAGATGGTTCTGAAGCGAAACTTGGAATTTTGAAATAATAGATCAGGGAGAAATCATTCTTAAAAAAAATGGTAAAGTCTCGAATCGGCTGGGAGAAAAAAAAATTTCTCAGAGCTGAGATAAAAATTCTCTAATGAAAAAAAAAAAAAAAAAAACTTTTGGTTAATTTTTATCATGTCTTTAGACATGATAAAAATTAATGACCCTCCCTTTTTGTCTGGGAAGGATGTCTCACCCTTTCTAAAAATAGACCATGACTCATCCTTTCTCTAATGGCAATCATTCCATGAATGAATCACGATTTGTTTTTCAAAAGAGTGAGACAACATTCCCAGACGAAAAGGGAAGGGGGTCGTTAATTTTTATCATGTCTAAGACATGATAAAAATTAACAAAAAGTTTTTTTTTTTTTTTTTTTTTTTTTTTTTTGAGTTGTAGAATTTTTCTCAGCTCTGAAAATTTTTTTCCAGCCGACTCGAAGACTTTACCATTTATATTTACGAATAGTCTTTGGATTATTTATTTATTTTCTTTTAAAAAGAAAAATTCTGAGCTAGACCTATCTATTGGCTTAACATTCTGGTCATAGAAACAGTCTAGAATCTCATTTTATTTTTCGAGGCTAATGCACGGGTTCTCCAATCAAAAGGGTTACTATAAAGGGATTGGTTTGAATGCATTTATCTGCAAATGTTGTAGGATTCTGTTGTTGAGAAGGGGGTATATTATTATTATTATTATTATTATGATGATGATGATTGTGGCAGATTCGTTTTCTACATGGAAGTCTAATCTCCTCCGAAGACCTTTTCTGGGGATCGTCGATAGATGGTTTTTCAATAGGAATCGTTTCCCTCGGATCCTCAAGAGATAGAGGGGGGTCCTGTCTTGAGACATGGAGCGGTCTCTCCTCCTCCTCCTCGAGAAGTCTTGAGAAAGGGAGAGGATTTTCGGTTCCCTTATTCTTGAGGGGTCTTGACAAATTGAGAGGTCCCTCCTCTTCGAAAGAGAGAGAAGTTTTGGTTCCCTTATCCTCGAGGGGTTTTGACAAATCGAGAGGTCCCTCATTTTCGAGGGGTCTTGATAAATGGAGAGGTTTTTCATCTTCGAGGGGTTTGACCCTCCTTCTCGAGGGGTAAAAGGGAGAGGTTTTTCATCTTCGAGGAGGTTTGACAATGGGAGAGATCTCTCCTTCTCGAGGGGTCTCTCTTCCTCAAGGGGTTTTGAGGAAGGGAGAGGTTTTTCATCCTCGACGGGTTTTGACAAACGGAGAGGAATCTGAACAGGCTTCTCCTCATCCCCATCATTATCGAGGAGGATGAGGATAGGCTTTTGGAAAGGTTTTTTCTTTTTCTTCTGAACAGGCTCCTCTTGATGCTCGGGGAGAGGGATGGGGTAGTTGTTCCACCATTCTATTTTTTTCTTGCTCGAGGATTTTTTCAAAAGTCGTGGCCTCTCTATGATGAGACGAAGGAGGAGAGTCCTCGAGAAGAATATAATAGGTATTCTTCCCAGTCTTCTCGATCGAGAGAGGTTCGTGCAAACATTTGTGCAACCATTCACTAAAATGAACGAGAATCCCTTTTGTCTTCTCAAGACGATCCATAATCCTATTCATTTGCGAGACGGTTAGAAAGTGGGACGTGTAAAAATATTTGGCTCGTTTCATTAACAAAATTTGTGCATCCAAAGGTGGAATGTCACGAGCCATCAACACGTTTTCGTCGGACAAAAATTCGTCCCGCATCTTTTGATAACTCCCCACGGTATAATAACCCGCACATTTTGAAAAATCGGAGGCTTTCAGGTAAACGACTCCTTGGATGATATAAAAGGAAAGATCAACATATTTATATTTGAAAGGAATACACGTAGTGAGCTGGGGATGCCTCCTCATGATCCACTTGGACAAAAATACGACTTTGGGGCTCTCCCCTTTTATTTATAGAGAGAAAGAGAGTGTGACCTTCCCTTCCCTCCTCCTCCTCTCTCCCTGCTTCCTCTATCTCTGGACGTCCTTGGATTGGAAAGGGTGACTTTGAAAAAAAAAGAAGGTCATGGTTGGATAATTTTTTGTTTATTAAATTATTACTTTCACTTCCTCATTCCCACACACATTCATCTTTTTAAGAAAAGAAAAAGAGGTCATGGAGATAAGATTTCTTGGAAAGAAGAGAGAGAGAAACAAAAAAAAACAAATAAAACGGACGTCATAGAGCCTCTATGTGTGTCTGTGTGTGTCTATATAGATATATAAAAAGACGAGAGTACTGGGCGAGATCATTTCTTTTCCATTGGGAGCCATGTCGCTATTAGACGTTTTTCCAACTCAACGGATTTCGAACGGGGAGGATTTGAAGACGCTAAAGCAAATCTCCAACTTGAAAATTTTTTTGGCGTGTCATTGTGCGACATTTATTCCGCATTTACCACCTCATCAAGCGATCGTTTCTTTCAACCAAGATGTCGAATCCTCCAACCTGCTCGTTCAGAATATATACAGAAATTTATTCGAATCGCAACAAACGAAAGAGGAATCTCCCTTCTCTTGGAATCGGATGGATCGAGCTTTGAGACGGCCCATTCAAACAGACCGGCGATATACAGATCCGCGCACGAGTTTTCGGTGGAAGAATATTTTCTCACGACGAAACGATATTTTACGTTTGGAGTGAGAACGACGGCTGAGGACGAAGTTCATATTGTTCAAACCACAGCCGCTCCTCTCGCCTATTACGAATCATCGTCCCCCAATCTGAAGGAAAGAAGTTTTAAAGTCAGCGACAGGATGAAATATAAGAAATATATTCTAAGACCTTTTCAAAACTATTCAAAACTATGTCGTTCCCCCGAAAACGCAATATCTCATCGTCACAACCCAGAAGAGTCTCTTTCTCGTCGATCGGTGCTCGTACTCGCTTTGGAAACAATTGAAAGAGGAGATTTCTTTCCAATCGCCGATGATGTTTCAAGAAAAAGAAGAAGAAAACCCTCCGCCACCTTTACCCATCCCTTCCTTAGATGATAAGAGGAGCTGGACCAAACCGTCGTATGGCCCGAAACAAAATCGACCCGGCAACGGAATGAAATTGAAGTCATCACAATTGAAGATGAGGAGGAAGAAAAAAAATTACCTCTTAAAAAACGGTCGACTTACCGGAACCTACCTGGCGTGCAAGATCCGCTTCAGAATCCAGAAGCTTCTTCTTCTTCTTCTTCTTCCCCGACTTGTTCAAACAGGCAACCTCTTTCGGACTCCTCACAGACAGAACCTCTTCCAGTATCCTCTTCTTCTTCTTCTTCTCCAACCTGTCCCGACATCGTAGAGGTAGAATGTCAGACGGGTCCACAAGCTTCAAAAAGTCCCGACATCGTAGAGGTAGAATGTCAGCCGGGTCCACAAGTTCCAACAGGTCCAGAAATCATGGAGGCAGAATCACAGCCGGGTAAACAAGTTCCAACGGGTCCAGAAATCATGGAGGTAGAATCGCAGCCGGGTCCAGACATCCTAGATCCCTCCACTCATCCCAAAGAGACTCCAAGTGTTTCAAGACAGCCTTGTGAGGATCCAGCCCTTCCCGTATGGAATGATTATATGGACTTACAAAATTTGGTGCAACAGGAAGGAGAAGAAAATAATCATACGGATGGGTGGGTCAAAGACTGTTTAGATCATTTAACCTCGAATGAAATTGAACTGTTATGGAATTGCATTTCTGAAATCACATCGGAAATGGGATAAAAACCAAAACAAAAAAAAATTTTTTAATAACAAATGGGAGGAGGGTCATGATGTCAATTAAAAAAAATATTATATAGAGTCCAATCTTGGTGGTTCACTTCAGTTTTCCAGCATGAGGTGATCCACGTTTCCCGAAATATGGATCCCATTCCAAGAGAGATTGTGTAGAGCCTTCACTTCAGTTCTTTTTTTTTTCCTACCAAGAGGAGAGGGTCCCCAAAGGGCTACCCATGTCCAAAGAGAGAAAGTGTAGAGCGTTCATTTCAGTTTTTTTTTCAAGTTTAGGGGAGGGAGGTCTCAAAATGACACCCCCCCATTTTCAAAGAGAGATGGTGTAGAGCGTTCATTTCTGTTTTTTTTTCCAAAGTTAGGGAGTTTTCAAATGGCTACCCATTTCAGAGAAAGAGAGAGAGAGAAGGTGTAGAGCGTTCATTTCAGTTTTCCAACATTAGAAGGTCCCAAAATACCTTCTGAATTCAAAGAGAGATCGTGTAGAGCGTTCATTTCCAGTTCTCCAAGATCAGAAGAAGAGGGTCCGCTTTTCCCAAAAGGGCTTTCCGCATTCAGAGACAGCGAAATGCAGACTTCAGTTTTCTCCCTCCCCAAGAATAGAGGGTCCCAAAATGGCTTCCCATTTCAAAGAGAGAGGGAGAGGCGTTCATTTCCATTCTCCAAGATAGGGTCGTCTGCTTTTTCCCAAAATGGCTTCCCAATTCAAAGAGAGAGAGAGAAAGGGTGTGTAGAGCGGTCATGTTCATTCTCCAAGATAGGGTCGTCAGCTTTTTCTCAAAATGGCATCTCCCCATTCAAAAAGAGATCGTAACCAATTTTTTCCAGTTTTTTCCAAGATGGGGGGGAGAAGAAAACCTAGGATGGAATAACACGACACACAGAGAGAAAGAGAAAAAAAAACGCCATCTTGTCATTTTCTGATAGGGTACCGGTGTTCGAATACTTTTGTGACCGATTAGTTATATAGTGTATAGAATTTGAAATTGAGGATGCGATATGAGCGGAAGGAAGCTCTGAGGAGAAGTGATGACAGTCGTGGATGGAATGAAAAGTCTGCTAAAGAAGCTGAAGCACCGCAGGCACATTTTACGTTTTGATGGTAGAATCTGCTGAGGTACGCAGCAAATCTTCCGTGATTTGTGAAAGCTTGTAGATAGAAATCCGGTTTGAGCCTTTTTGGTGGAAACCACGGGAAAGGTGGAATAGGTATGTCGACCGGTGATTTCTGAGTCGTCCCAGCGAGCTTGCCAGATCGACATGAAGGCGCAGAAGATCTTGTGTTTAGCAGCGACTATGGAAGGTGGTATCTCTGAGTCGATGAAGGGGTGACTTGTGGGTTCTTTATTTAAAGAGTCGGCCCTTTCGTTACCTTGGGTACCTTGATGACTACGTACCCAGCATAGAGACACTTGCCTGGAAGAAGACAAGGTAATAAGCACTTCTTTTAATGAAGAGATGTGGAAGGCTTGTGTGCCGTTCTTGTTCAGTGCTGTCCGTGTTGAAGCTGATGGATGGAAAAATGGTGTTGCCTGCCCAGAGAGTGCCTTCTTTAAAGCGAAGGACTCAGCCTGGAAAACCGAGGCGTGGTCGCTAAGTCTGAACCGTGCTGAGTGGATTTCTGTAGTGTTGTAGAAAGCGACATAGGCTGCACCTACTTGCTCTGAAACTTTAGAGCCATCAGAAGATATTTCTAAGTCCTGTCCTTTTGGTATATGTTTAAGCCATTTTATATCTTTCGTGAGAGATGGGTGGACGGGAGTATAGTGGCAATGTGGTTCTAAGGAGCGCTGGTCTATGAATGAAGAGTCATCTAGCTGGAAGGAGTCCTTAAAATGAACTAACCTATAAGTACCACACTCAGTTTCTGCTTTGAGATCTAAGGGGAGAACCCCTGCAAGGATTCGGAGACCTGCTGTGGATGTGGTAGTGAAACAGTGATCTTGAGAAGGGTGATGCGTTGAATTTGGAGTAGCTTCTGACGAATTCTAACCGTGCCAGTCATCCAGATGGGGGGAGCCGTAAAGGATCATCCTTTCAATGCCCCGCAGATATAGTTCTTTCAAAAGTTTCCCTTTTAGATTCCATTTACCTGTGACAGTGCGATTTAAGATATTAATAAGATTGCAGGTTTTATCTCGTATCATTGTTAAGTGCGGTACCCAGGTGAGTTTTCTATCAAGTAAGAATCCTAGATATTTTAAAGTAACTTCATTTTTTAGTGCACGGCCCTGCCATTTAATACGAGGTGGACTATTTACAAGTTTATTACCCTTTGTAAAGGTGATCATTTTTGTCTTATCGATGCTGAATTTAAGCTTGAGTTTGAAGCTCCAGTCAGTGATAAGATCTAATGCCTTTTTCGCTTTGTTTTGTATTTCAGTGCGATTACCTCCTTGAATGATTAGGATAAAACCGTTGGCGTAGGCCTGTATTTGTGCATTTCCTTCGAAATATAGATCTAATGCAGTATTCGCAATGAGATTACACAATTTTGGGCCAATACTGGACCCATGGGGAGCGCCTCTGTAATAATCGTGAGTGACACTGACCCCGTCTTGCTGGTAAGTGACTTTTCGATTGTGAGGATAACTACCTATGATCCGAAAGAGATTCTTAGGGCATTGAAGATGTTTGAGTTGATCCCTGAGGGCTGGCCACCATAGTTGGTTGAAAGCCGACGTCACGTCCGAGGAGATAGCACACGTGTGGAGACCTTGCTGCTTGTTATGGTGTATTTGCTGTTGTAGATTGTGCAGAGCGTCGATGGTGCTCTTTTCCTTCGTGAAACCACATTGCGCTTTCTTCATGAGGCGGTTTTTCTCCAGGGGGAAAGTGAGACGTCTGGTTATTAGTTTGTCTGGGACTTTTCCCGAGGCGGAGAGAAGACAGAGAAGAAGTATTACGCTTTCGGATACTTACTGTCTTTGCCCTCTTTTTTGAAAAGAACAAGCTCATACTTCCAGGCCATCTGGAAAGTAACCTTTTTGAAGGTATGCATTAAATAGATATGCTTTTGATGACACAATCAGATTTGATGGGCGTGCATAGTGGGCCATGGGATTTCTATTTCTGGGGGAGGGGAGTACCAAAGTCGCTACCAGGGGAAATATTGGCACTGCAAATGTGTATTAGTTTGAATAATGAATAATTAAATGCCAAACGATGCAGCACACATCAGTTTTATTAGCGACAAATGATTGTTACTTATAAATGAGTTCAATATGACCAACATTGTGATGTTCCAAGAACTGAATACGTTGAACACATTGTCCACGGCGGCTCGCAACATATCAGAATTAATCTGTCTCACCTATATATTTGACCTTTCAAAGTTGCGATATCGGGGGGACATGGTCTTGGTTTCAAATTGCTGAATCATGTTTTATAAGTTTGTTATGCTCATCGGTCCTTTTCACAACTTCTTTAACCGCCGAAATTCAGGATGGCAGCATTGGCATTCTCGTACCTCTGATAATACACCTTGACTAACAAAGCTCCATCCCGCAATGTAAGAGCTGTCGAAATGCGGTTAGCCTCAGAATGATGAGAATTCTCCCAGCCATTTTTTTTATACTCATGATCGCTGATTTATCGATATTTCAAATCTGCGATGGCTGATGGACAAGTCTTTGGTTTCAAATTATTGAATCATATTTCATAAGTTTATTATGCTCATAGGTCCCTTTCGTAACTTCTTTAACCGCGGAAATTCAGGAAGGTAGCATTGGCATTCTCGTTTCGCTGATAATGCAGCTTGACTAACAAAGCACAATCCAAGGCCAAGTGTCGCTGATATGCGGCGAATAGCATACTATTTATATGACATGTTCCGGCTCTTTGAAATAATTGCCATGTGGGCCGCCTAACAGGAGAGTTTTTCTGGTGCTTGAAAGCGAGGCTTTGATGGTGAGAAGGGGAGACCGCAAGACAGAGCAGGTCTGAGAAATAACAGCACGTGCTAGAGTGGGAATAATAAACTGACGGTAGGCAATGATGTCTTGCTAGTGGCAGTGATGTCTTGCTAGTCTGTAGACCTTATCTAGTGGGGAGTCACTTATGCTGATGAAAATAAATAAAGCAGAATCCTCCCAGCCTTTCCTTTTATACTCATGGTCACTACACAGAAAGTGACTGTAAAAATTGATGCATTTTATTCGGTAAATAGCGCCATTTTCGTTTTTTTTTTTTTTTTTTTTTTTTTTTTTTTTTTTTTTTTTTTTAAGAAATCAAAATCCTGTGGTCCACTATGTATGCCCATCAAATTCGGTTTTGTTTTGTCAAATACTTTATTCTCTAGAGGGTTCTGAATATCTCATGCTATTTTATAAACATACTGTATGTATTTGTTTACAATGGGTTTATTTAGAATGTGTAACAGTTTCCTGGATTAATCGTTTTCTGCGCTCGATTCAGAAATGATCGATTTAAGTTCAGTTGTAGTACATATCTATGATGCTAAGTGTTTTTCTGAAAGGAAGATCTTTTAAAATTTTAAATTGAGGAAAAGTATAGCATTTTCTACTCTAATGAGTGAAGAATAAGAATATATTTTATGTTCCATAATCAGATGCCAGAGATAATGCTTTCTATTGCTAAAACGCTTTTTAAAGTGTATTGGGAAACAATGCGTTATAGAGAGTAGCGAGTTTGAGACACCTAAGTGACAAGGGCGAAAAACGATTTCATTACAGACGTTTAACTTCATAGTTAATTTTATATTTCCGAGGAGGTCTTATGAGCTAAAATATGTGACATCGGTTATAGTTCGTGAAGTCTATTCTTATTGCTTTCTTAAAGATTTAGTTAAGATGAATCCATATGTCTTCTGGTATAGTTATCTTCAGAAGGACTTTTAAAGTAATAGGAAAAGGAAGTCTGTGATTTTTTATGATCGATAACACAACAATAGACAGTAAAAGTGATGTCGCAATGCTGTCTTTTTAATGAGTAAAAGCAGGACCGGCGCCAGAACATGAGCAACCAGTTCGACCGCACCGGGCGTCGGAATTCAGTGCCGGCAAAATTTTTAAAATTTAGAAGAAAACCGGTCTGTAGAATTTTAGGATTTGTGGAGGCGGCAAAAAGTCTAGCGGTAGCCTTGAGCACAAGTTTATTCTTTGCTTCAACACCCGAGTCATTGTTCGGTGCTTCAACTTTATCAGAATCTTTATTCATTCGTACTCGGCTATCAGAGCTGACAATGTAGATTCCGCTTTTTGTTCAAACGCATCCTGTAAAAATACATTCTTCAACACTAGGATGATTTAAGAACTTTGGATAACCAGCAGTATAACTGCACATACACTTCTGGAATCAAAGATATTGAAGCGTTGAAGAGGAACGTCGGAAGCACCGTAGCGTCACAATGAAGCAAGAAGGAGTCATTTTGTTGGTGCTTATTTGCCCCTGCAAGCTAATTAGCAAATAAGATGCTGTAGGGACATAACTATAGGAAAATAGTAGATGAAGATTTCCAGAAAGGCAAATTTAAAAAAAGGTAAATGGTTAAAACCTTTGTTTTGTGAAAGTTTGCCAAGCAGTTGAGAGCTCGAAAGGAGATGGAAAAGGGATGCCAAATTTTAGGAACTGAATGCGAATTATTCAAAAAGAATTAAATACAGAAAATATAAGGCAAGCTATGTGCAAGTATTGAATGAGTAATGTAAAACTGTATAAAATAACACTAATACAAGATTTGAAGGATGAAAACAAACTATGAAAAGTGAATCATTAAATTAAAATATCCATAAATGTTACCAGGTCATAAAATTGTGGTCTCTAAGCAAATGAGGCGCATAAGGCCTCATCAGATTACCTGCAAGAACAATTTAGTGTTGAACAGAACATTAGACAGGGTTTTCAGCGCCCCCAAACAACTGAAAATTATGCGCCTCCTTCTATTTTCGAAGAATTTAAAAACATTTCATTCTAAAATTTCGTGTAACCCTTATCCACGCCATTGGTGTAAAAGAACTTCAGGGTAGTTGCCCTCATTTCAGACCAGTCCTCTCTTTCGATTCCTTCCGCTCTTCGCTCCATTTTGGCACATTACTCTTGATTCATTCTTCATTCCTGACCTTAATTATCAATACTATTATTAGTGAACACTGTGTCTTAAAAAAACCAACCGATTCAATTTATTAAACGAACGGTTATGATCTGAACCCTTAAAAGAGAAATTTTACCCACCTCTAGAATAATGGGGTAGCTAGGGATGAGAAAAGGAGGAATTTATTTCCGAGCGTAGCATCCAGGGTTGCCAAATTGAAGCTATGAAATTTAAGAATTAAAATGTTTTTCATTCTTGGCAACCCTACCTACCATGAAAACCCTACCTACGACTGTGCTGTAGAATTCAGTTTTCTAAAATAGAAGCAAGAAGATCAGCTGTCCTCTCTACGTTAGGCTCAGAAGAAAGGAAAATGGCTGGAAATTGATTAGAAAGACTGAAAATAGGCTCCAGCGTGTGGTTTTTTCTACATCGAAAAAACGGCACTGAAGTCCGTACAGCGCAACAATAATAGTTTAGTAAAGACATACTCATTTGTTTCATAAGTTGAAAGTTTCGGAATACTACTAATTTTTTTATATAATTATAATGGTGGGAGGATTTTCCATTCTTTCGAGAGAGCAATAGCCCTTTTGGTCCCAAAATACAAGCGAGTTCTATTATTCGCGTTGTTGCATCTGATATTCCAGCTGTTGGGAAAGCTAAACATACGATGAAATCCATATCACGTATTAAAACCATCCCTAATAGGAGCTCTGAAGCTTAACAAAACCAAGATATATATTTTTTACTATTATTTACAAAAATGCAACATACTTTGTTAATTTCTCTCCGTTATTTATGTATTAGAGAGTACCTTTCAACATCTCAACTCGTCTCAGTCACACGATTAAAAGTAAAAGTTGCGATTAAATAATATATAAATTCGTATGGTGTAATGTCCCGTAGCTTCAACAAAATGAAATACAGGAAAGAAAAAGGTGAGATTGTTGCGTACAGTGAGAATGCAGTTCGACATAATCTGGCACTTTTAGAGTATTGTCGAACTTCAATGGCAGCTTTATCAGGAAGCACTGCCGGAATTCTTGGTTTAACTGGTCTTATTGGATTTGCCTTTTATTTTATAAATGCAGTAGTTCTTTGGTTGTTTCTACTTGCTAAAGCTGGAGCCGACTGGCAGAAGTATTTTCGAAGTAGAACTCAACTCTTAACTAGTGGATTTTTTGGTGGTCTGATAACTTACATCTTATTTTGGACATTTCTATACGGAATGGTTCATGTTTATTAAAAGGATTATATTTTGGAGTGATATAATTTACATCAGAAGTATTCATGCCGAATATATGTTCCCTACATGTTTGCTGATATTGCTTGTGAGTTCATTAGATATATACTTTATTTGCAGTGCGTTGAAGAAGTATTTGAAAAAAAATTTGCATACTATTGACTGTTGTTAAAAAAATTCCTATACAAGTTTGTTGTCATCAGAATATTTATGAAATTGCGTGTGATTGTCGTTTCATAGAATGGTATCAGAATATATATTCATTCATATGTTATCAGCAAATACGTAAAAATTATTGAATGTTGTATACATTTTATTCCTACAAAGATTTTCTATATATGTCATTCCACGAAGTGTGCTTTAATTGGAAATTGAGATAAGGAGAATATGTGTTTAAATATGTTGAAATTTTAAGTTATGGAATTGTGACATTGAAATAAAACGCTTTAAAATAAATTTTGCTGGTTTTTAGCAATATATAATATTTTTATTACTGAATTTATAGTTTTTAGCAGTTTTATAACTGAATATTTTTTCATTTTTGATAAAATATGGTCGCTGTTGGGGGAATATGATTACATATTGACATGTATAAATGTTCGAGTAAATATGTGATAGAAGCATAAAATGTTATCAAGCGATGTGACTTTTTGATACTTCCTTGTTAAAAAGCCGCTGTGTGCCATGAAATATGGGCCTTACAAAAAGAGGGATTAAGTTTGTCAGTTTGGTAACTAAACATATTTGTAATTTTACAAGGAAACATTGACTTTTCATATCGGTTATTACAATTCCCGATATAATAAAAGGTGTAATAATTTTTGTCAATATAGAAAATAGCTAAATACTATCTTAAACGTAACTGATTAAAATGCTGCCATAGAACGTCTTTGTCTTGACATTAACTGTAGGAGAATGTTTTTGGCTGAATTTGGTGATTTTTTGGCCGTGATCTTGGATTTCAGAAATGTAGCCAAATTTTGAAATCCAAGAGGGCGACAAAAATTGTTTGGCTCATTTCGGATACCTGGCTCTTGGCTGAATTTGGCAATTTTTTGACTGCCATCTTGGATTTCAGAAATGCATTTTAAAATCCAATATGGCAGCCAAAAATTGTTTTTCTGATATGAGGGAAATGGACAGGGAAAACAATTCTGATCTGCCAAAAGGAAAAATTTAACTGCATCATGCAGAAGAAGCAAAGTAAAATGGTTACGTGATCATCAATATGCACCCTAAGAAATTTTGTCCTAAATTCTCATAAAGTCCCTCCCATTACTCTGCCTTCTACAGTAACCTAAACATCAGCAAAACGTTGTTGGGATCTGTAGCCGCCGGTGATCGCCTCCACAAGTCGCCAAGAGCCATTTTATCAAAAACTGCCACATTTTGAAGAAATACAAACAGTAATTTTTCTAACGTTCTATGGAAAAATATGAAATTGAACTAACCTGACAAAGACACGTTCCAGGGCCCAGAATCCATTGATCTCGACAAGAATTAATTATCCATTTTCTTCAGTTTTTGGGAAACGATACATCCTAAAGTTATTCTTAGAATAATTGAAACAGTTTGGTACGGCACATCCACCCATATTTCTCAAAATTAGGTCAGAATTGATAAACAAATATGTCAAAAAAACAATGCTGATCCAATGACGGACAGCAACAAGTGTGCTTCATTGGCTAAAAAATGGACAATCCATATAAATATTGCTGAATTGTTGCTAATAGATGCAACATTATCGACTCCTGATACAAAATGGATGACGTGGCAGCTCCTCTTTATACGAACTTTGCATCCAGATAGCAAACAGTTTGTAACGTCATTAAACTCCTAACCTTCAGGAGGAAGGCTTTCGTTTAAGGAGGTATTGGTTCTTCTAGGGCACATTAAAAATTGTATCTTTGTATAAAAACTGATAGCATATAATTATTTTCAGAAATTTTGTTTTAATGTGAAGGGTAATTTATTAAATAAAACAAGATAAAATTTCTTAAACGTAAATATGTTGATATTTTTATATGACGCAGGAAATTTCGTGCATTATTTTTTAAAACACAGATATTTGCTGCTGTAATATAACTTCTGCGATAAATTAGCCTTGATTATCTATTACCCCCAAAAACTTCTGTTTTGAAATGTGCAGTTGAGGCATTTGAACCTACTCTTCTAAGGATACATAATCTTAAAAATCCAGGATCCTTAAGGATATTGATATTTGATCTTAAAAGCTAATTCTGTGTACTAAAATAAAGCTTATACAATAATCACATTCATTTCTAAATGATGTATAAAATTAAAAATGTAACATAATATTAAAATATAATGCAATAATAAAAATGCTTTTAACTTGATGAAATTAATAAAAATATCCTTTCATGCAATTTTTGTATCAAATATGGAAATTATTATAACATTTCATCCAAGACTACACAAACAATTATTTGAGAAAATCACTGTTTACATTACAATTTACACATGTAAAATAAATTATTAATGAAATAAAAAAATAAATAAAAACTGCAAGGTTGTTTGTATGATAAAGGTAATAATAGTTCTTAGAGTCTGCATGATTAAATTAGAGATTAATTTTATCCTGATCAGTTTAACAAGACCGAAGTAACTGAATTATAGATTATTCTTGCTTGAATGTGAACAATTTTGTTTATAGTCAGATCCCAACAAAAGGGACAAAGTATTTTATGAATCAAGTAAAAAAGCATATTATTTAAGAAGACATGTTATTCATTCTCCTAGTAAAAAAAAAAAAAAAAAATTGTGAAAATGTAATTAATGAGGAAGATAATACAGAATTACAGTGTCTAATTATAAGACCATCACTAAAATTGCTTTAACAGTGACCTTTCAAACTTGAAACTATCTGCCAGTTCTTAGACATCAGTATTTTCTCAAATTTCACTTTATGTTATTAGTGCAATTGTATGCTCCATTTTTAATAAAATATTTAATTTTAAAAGAAATTTGTGTTTATGGTTTCTGGGCAGATTTACGAGATTAAGTTAAAACAAAAATGTAGGCTCACTTTTAATCCTAACTAAAGAACCAAAAATTAAAATATTAAAAATATTATTTTCCATTTATAAACATGTGAAGTGAAATTCATAAACTTAATTTTTTAAAAATTTTAACAAGGTCTAACATTTGTGATGAAATGAACAATTCTAAATGATTCCCTTTGCAGATTTATCTAGACTTTTAACGATAAAATGTAAGCTATTGTAGTAAATTAGTTTACTACATTGGTTAATATATAATTGCAATAAACAGACAGTAAAGAAACTTCATAGAAGTAATTTACAATAAAATTTTTAAAAAAGTTTAATTTATTTGTAAATTACTCACACAAAGATCTTTCTTAGTTAAAGCTTATGCATTATTTATGGAATAAAACTGAATTTTAAGATGAAAATTTTACCAAACTAAACCTACCAAAACATTTCTTGTGCAAAATCTCTAATTTAAATAAAGGGAAATTCAGTGGGATCTGTTCGAAACTTTCTCCTAAACTACCTTCACATTTTAAATGCATTTTCAGACTTCTAGTAGCAGTGAAGAATAAATTTTTATTTAGAACTCAGTTATTTCAAATCAGCTAAATTAAGTGAATTATTGGTTAAAAATTGATACTTAGGTATGACCTCAGTAAAAGTTAACAAAATGTTTCAGCAAAAACAGTTCTTTGGTTTTAGCAAGCAATACCACCATTTTCATAAGATGCTCCTTTTGCTGTATTTGAATGGCTTTTTTTTGTCTTAAACACAGTTTTAAAATATGCTCTTATGGGACTAGCCTGCAGTGGAAAAAAGTGCTCCGAAATTTCTGCAGCAAATTAGTATTTTGCCACAAACTCGTTTAAAGGCAATACAGTCAAAAGTCGTTAAGCCGGACTCGTCGGGACTTCGGCGATTCCGGATTATAGTTCATCAGTTTAAATCTGGTAAGATGGCATGCAGAAATTATAAAATTAAAAATATGAAACCGTAATTTATGAAATAAGAGCCAATATGATCTAAAGGGTGTCAAAATTTACAAAAAAAAAAAAAAAAAAAAAAAAAAAAAAAAAGCTTAATATTTATCTTTACTTTATTAAACATTTCTTTCAATGTAAGTTGTTTAAGTTGCTTCGTTTTTTATGTGATAATACTTTAATTCTATGAAACAGACATAATTTCTTGTTTAGTTACAAAGTTCCCGCTGTTTAAGTCCTATAATTGCTGAGTCGAGAATACCGACTAATTTGTCAATCGAAATTTTTTTCGTTTTAATAACCTTTGTAACTTTCTTCGCTATTGAAGTGAATTATAGCGAGGAATTTGATTTAAATCATATCAAAGATGGAGTACATAGAGATGAAATACTACATTTAGTAAGGAATTATAAGCCAAATAAAATAAAAACATCTGCCCTGAAGGTAAGGATAGTGCTGACAGATCAACTTCCAATTCATTATGCGCCACGGCGTTCCCCTCCCCCCCAGAGCAGCGTGAAATTCATAAACAGATTTCGGAATGGTTAGATAAACAAAGGCTATGCCTTTATCCATTTTTTGCAGCAATTCCACTTTTTGTTTAAGGGACTTCGAAACATACTTTCGCTTTGTAGATCCTTTACATATTAGTAAATATATATCAGAAATTCTATTTGACATAATCGAAAGTTCAAACTTACTTTTATAAAATTGCTCTAACAGTCTGCAAAAAAATAATAAGCCGGATCCAATTTGAAGATTAAGGAACAACGCAATCTGCAACATTAACTGAATTAGATAATTTTAGCTTAGCTTATACCATCCGTTATACATTAAACACGCATTCGTAAACGTATTTTGCGCATGCACACACGCATATTCGCAGCCGTAAAGGTCTTATGCGCATGCATCAAAAGTTTGTAGCTTTGAGGTCCGAATTAATGACTTTTGACTGTAGTTGCTTTGAATGCTTGATTGTTAAAAATGATTGTCATGAATTTTCCTCTACAAC